TTAGTTATTTAATTTTTATCTTTATCTGTAGACCATGAAATTAATTTTCATAAATTATTTATCAATTTTTATATGTTTATCTATATGGGGGAATTTTAAAATTCAAATCTTTATCCATAAACCATAAAATTAATTTTCATTTTAATTAATCAAACAAATAGAAAATTGAGGAAAATAGAAAACACGAAAGACAATCAAAGAGGGTTGCCACGTAGGAAAGAAAGAATTTAGGAATGAATATGTACAGATTTTTGACAAAACCACTACATTTGATTATATATATAGTATAGATAGATAACGTCATATATTTCATAAATGAAAATTAAATGTTCAAAAGTATATACAAATGAATTAAATAAAAAGTTTTTAATTGTGCATATATATATTAGAAAACACGAAAGACAATCAAAGAGGGTTGCCACGTAGGAAAGAAAGAATTTTAAAATTATAAGAATTTAGGAATGAATATTTACAGATTTTTGACAAAACCACTAAACATGGTATCAGAGCTAGGATAGATATATATATATATATGTATGTGTGTGTGTGTGTGTATAGATGAAGAAGATAATCTAGTGTTGATGATGAAATCTGGTGTTTATATATATATATATATATATATTTTGTGATTGGTGGGTGCTGATGTCCCCAACTCCATCTTCTACCTTCTTCTTATTCTTCATTATCATCATGTTCATCCTCTTCCAGAACAGTTTCAGAACAGAGAAAAGAAAAGGGAAAAAGAAAAAAAAAAAAAAACACCAAAACGGTGTCGTTTTAGATTCGAGCCATTTCGGGCCAAATCTTTTTCGAGCTACCTAGCAGCTCCGTAACTCTTGTGTCATTTTACCTTTTTAAATTATTAATTTGAACAAATTTCTTTTTGATCCACTTTGTTTTAATATTTAACATTTATATATATGGAAAATATTATGGACCCCAAACAAATTACTAAATTTTTTACCAAACCTCTCACATGGGTGTGGAATCCACACAAATCAAATGTGTGTGGGTCCCACACCCATGTGAGAGTATATATATATATATATCAAGTCAACGTTTGCCACGTCACTTTTCATTTAAAATTTTGCATCACGTGTTCCATTTTAAAGTGGCAAGACACGCAGCATTTGCCACGCCATTTTTAATTTAAATTTAATAGGGTAAATTACATTTACCTCCCTTAAGGTTTCTGACAAATACAGGGACCTCCCCTGTGGTTTGAATAATTACAGTAACCTCCCATGCTTTACCTGACAATGTCAAGATTCCCTCATTCCGTCAATTATGTACAAACAACGTTAGTTGCCTATACAAAATGACCATATTACCCCTTCATTTGAGGGCAAAAAGACAAAATACCCTTTGTTCACTTTCTCATACAACCTTATCATGCACCTCATTCTATTTGATAATTATCCGTCTTCATCTCTTTTCCCTCTGCATTTCTCCTCCACTACACCCAATTTCTACCTTCTCCCTCTACCTGCTTTGATTCTCCATTGCTACCAACCTCTAACTTCATAACCCCCAACCACCACAAATCTCTATTGCCCTAACCGTATACGCTACTATATCTCAACAAGTAGAAAATCGAGACACCAAACCCATGAGGAGCACAGAACGAGACAACAATGCCAAAAAGAGATAGAGAGAGACATGTCGAAGGCAGATTCTCAGTGGTGTCGATCTTGATCTTGCCGATCTTGCCGATCATCGTATACCACCAGATCTCATCGTCTTAATGTTCGTCGTTGTAGGAGTTCATGGTAATTAGTCTTTAAGGGAGGTGGCACCGGCGTCCATGGAGTTCTTGATCACTATGGCTGTAGATATAATGGTGTTTGTCTTGATTTCGATGTTGCTTGTTAGAGGTTAAGAACAGAGAAAGTGGAGATGGAGGTTGAAACAAAAAGGTTTGTTGGCAGAGGGGGGGATATAGAGGGAGGCAGTGGTGTGTGTAGAGGATTTGAGGGCAAAAAAAAAAGATGGAAGGAAGAGTGAGACATTGGGGCAGTGAGTAGTAGAAGTTGAACCAGAAGATGGATATGGAAACAAAAAAGGGGGAAAAAAAAATTTACCTTATTCTCCTACAATCTTACTCTTTCTTATATTTCCTCTTTTTCCCCATGGATGACCATTTATTTTCTTCTCTCTTTCATGCTCTCCAATCAAAATTCATCTACTCCCCCTGATTTAGTTTTTCCTTCTCTCATTTGTTGCCCACTCTCATCCTTTCTAATTTAAAACCAAATCACACCAAAAAAATAAACCCAAATTCCAATTAAAAAATAATCACAAATCTATATCACTATCCAAATCTTCCAAAGACTTGACTGAAACCTCAAACAAAGATTCAATACAAAAAATCTCATTAAAGCTTAAATCCATAACAAAGAAATAAATCTCAAATCAAATAAAAATTCAGATGAAATAATTTAATCTGAATATTGTGTTTCCGTAATAAACATTCTAACATTATTTGTGTGTTTAATCTGATTGCTTATGAAGCCAAATGAACTACTGCAGGTTTTGATTTGGTTGCCTTTGAGAAGGGTAAGAAGAGATGAAGAAGAAAGTTGGTTGGTGATTGTGCTCTGTTAGTCAAACGTAAAAAGGAAGGAAGATGATTGTGTTGTGTTGGTCAATAAAGCAAAAAGGAAGAAAGCATAAGAGGAATAAAAAAAAATAAAAAAATAAAAAAATGGTAGATTCAATCTCATGTAACCCAATTCATGGAGTGTTTTGAGACACTTGAGGGCATTATGGGTATTTCATTATTTATCTTTGATGACATCATCAATTTCTGTTAGTAGTGTGAACGGCAGTTAAAAAATGGGGGAATCTTGACATTGTCAGGTAAAGTAAGGGAGGTTACTGTAATTATTTTTTTTTTTTTTTTTTTTTTTGTATAAATATAATGGTTGGTCTCCCGCATTTGCATGTGAATTTTTTTTTGCTTATATTTATTTATTTTTCCAGTTTGATATACACACGTGATTATGTGTCTGAATTTATTTATTTTTTTCATTAAAAATAATTTTTTCCTTTGGTCAAGGAAATAAATATACAATTAAAATTAATTAAAATGACTGGGTAGCAATCTCGACGGTGTGGAAAAGGGGGGTAGAATTGAGCAGGTGGTTATCATCCATTTACTCGGTAAATTTTTTTATCAGTAATTATGATTGAATTATTAAATTTGCTGATTAGATATTTATATTCAATTTGCTGATTAGATATTTATGTATTTATATTCAATTTGCTGATTAGATATTTATATAAGCCATTTTGTATGTAGAATGAGGCTTGTTTTTGGGAACAAAATGGTTAAAAATAATTTTTTTTTGACTTTTTTAGATTATATATATACTTTTTAATTTTTTGGTAAATTTTTTTTAAAAAAAATTAAAAAAATCAGTTTTTAACCTCCTTCTCAAAATAAGTTTGAATCATGCATGGCACAATCAAAAAATAAAAAATAAAAAATAATCATGCATGGAAGGTGAGATGAAAATGCTAGAGACCTTCAAAATTTTGTTAAAATTTCTACCAAATGTCTCAAATAAGTGTAGGACCCACACCATTTGGGTTCCATGTGAGCCTCACACTCATGTGAGACATTTAGTATAAATTTTCACAGAACTTTTGGAATTTCTAGCATTACTCAAGTGAGATTCATAAACTAGGTATTTGAGATGACATATCATATTTTTTTGGACAAATTATACTGGTGGTCAATATATTTTACTTTTTATGTTATACAATTTGAATTGACTCAATTTTGACCATTGATTTTAGATTTTGTATCAATTTTGTCAAATTATTAGTGTTAACTCACTAAATCGAATAAGTTTATACTTTTGTCGTTAAAAATATAACACATGACATTTATGTGTATATTTTTTTATAAAAAATGTTAAGAGTTGAAATCGAATGGATCCAATTGAGACAAAGTCATAAATTCATGGTCAAAATCGAGCTAATTAAAATTACAGTGACTAAAATTATACAATGACCAAAATATAAGGACTACCATCATAATAACTAGGGTTGATTGGTGATAAATTCAATCTAAGGAGGGTATAAGGCATTAGGTCTAAGAAATATTTTTTATTGATGAAAAGTTCACGCTTTGTGAAATAGCTTAGTAAAAAGTCTTGGAGAATATTTTATTTTCAATTTTATTTCGATTTTTTTTTAATCTATTTGACTTTTCATTGACTATCTATTCAAATTTATATCTATCTGTTTAATTTTTTTTCTATCTATTCAAATTTTTTGTCTATCTATTCAAAATTATATCTATCTGCTCAAATGTTTTGTCTATCTGTTTAATTCTTTCTTAAATCCTATTTATCTGTTCAATTTTTTTTTATCTACTCAAATTTTTTCCCTTTAAATTATATCTA